TGTGGCATGCGGGATCTTATTAATAGTTCCCCAATCAGGGATCAAATTTGTGCCCCTGTAGTGAAAGTACAGAGTCTTAACTACTGGACAGCCAAGGAAGTCCCTCATGCCTTATTTTCCTTTAAGTTTTAACTTTTAAAATAATTTTAAAACTGTATGAGAGCTGCAGGAACACTCTAAAGCACTCACTCCTTGATATCCTTCATCCACACACACGTACAGAGACGTCTCTCTTTTATTTTTTTGCATTATTTGAGTGTGCATTGCAAATATAATGGCCCTTTACCTCCATTCCCCTGGTTTTACTGAGATGTAACTGACAAAGCCATAAACCATTTAAAGTGCACAGTGTGACGACCTGATGTGCACACGTACTGCGTGACACCATGCTTTGTGCGACGTGACACACGCTTGAGTCAACCGACTGGTTTCCCATCGGTGAGACATGCTCCATCTCTTGGAGCGGTTCAGTGGTGGAACTAGACAGAGAACTAGGCCTGAAAAATCAGCGGAAATGCCCTTCACCCACCTGAACAGTATTAGAGCTATAAAATCCTAGTGTAAATGTCACTCTATATATCTGCTGTAATAATGAAAATTTAGATCAATGAAGCGTCAAATTGTATGTTAACAAAGAGGAAAACGCTGAACAGAGAGGGCAGAACTTTAAAAATTCCTGTCCTTCCCTCTTAACTCAAGGTTGCCAGCTTCTGTGTGGGGCCAAGGGCACTGTATTATTTTCTACACTTTGATTTTTCAGTAGGTGTCGATGCTTCCTGGAAGTATTCGAAACAGTGTATGTCTATACATCTTGGGCTGATTAACATTTCAGACTCTCAATTCCATATCTGTATACCCTCTGCAAATAACCAAATGTGAGATACAAGAAAGATATATCATCTTTATCTTATTACGACCAAATTGATAAATGTCTTTTCTCATATTCTAGGAGAAAAAAAAATTCTCACACAAAATTTTGAGGTCTTATTTTGGCTACAGAGTTAAGATAATTTTCCTCGGGCGTCAAAAGTTTGGAAGTGCAATAGATACGAACACTTGACTTCTTCCTGCTTTTGTGAATTGCCCCAAATTCTTTGCCATGAAAAAAATAAGCAAAGAAAACCATCCTACCTGGAAAAAGGAGGTAAATTGAATAAATAATATATTAAATTTAGGCTTTCAGATCTAGTGTGGTATTCTGTATTTTCATGAACATTAGATAGACATGATTAAATAAGTCATAAATTATTGTAAAATGTGTTAAAACAAGAGTCTGCAAAAATTTGGACAAACCCTCCATGTGGTCAAACTTTGATTCACCAGTAATCTTTCAAACAAAGGAAGATTAGACTGACACATTTTTTTTTTTAAATAACCATAGATATGGAATAGAATCTGCTAGTTCAAAATACTTGGAATTCATCTTCTCTTTGAAAAATAAAATGACTAGAAATGAGGTTAAAATTTTTTAACAGAATGTTAAATTTTTAATCTAAATTTAAACTTTAGTGTCATAGAGACATTAATGTCATTTCTTTTCCACTATTATCATTACTAAAAATTTTATAAAACCTTATGAAAGACCAAAAAAATCTTTTTTTACACATTATGCCATAAGAGACATGATTAAAATGACAAGTTCCCAAATAACATGAAAAATGCATTTCCCCTTTATGCAAAGCAAATGCATTTTGCTCCTAAGAGATGTTTAATCTATTCTCTTTTTTGAGAAGAGATGGCAGGGGGACGAAAGGATTTACAGTTAGAACTGTCATTTAATGAAAGACACATATTTGACTTGTGATTATTAAATAACTTGTAACAATTTCGAGTTTAGACAGCAGTAGTGACTTTTGATATGAATGAAAAACAAATTATATTTCTGTTAACATTCAAGGTTACTTCTCTGAGTCAGAATTATTAAAAGTTACCCTTTATTATGCCATGGGAATAGTGGAACCAATGTTAAGAAATCTTCTCTATGTGTATACATAAAAATATTTATTCCAGGAAACATTAGGTTTCTACAGAATTAGTTTAAAAGAACAGCTTACTCTTTCATAAAAACTTTTATAAAGAACTTCAATATGCTTTCTACTACCTTATACTCTTCCTCCACCCCCTCCATCAGCAAGAGTGCTCCCATGAGTGGTCAGATTCAATCACCATCATTGGCTCATTGGGAAGAAATGTGAGGCAACGCCATAGTTCCTTCATAGTTTCAGCTTCTGAGTGTTTGCTTACTCCCTAGCAAGTGGGGCATCAAAATGGCCCCAGGACTGCACTTGCCCTGAGAAATGCCTTTTACTGAAAAGATCCAGGGGCTAGTGGAGGGTCCAAGCTTTTTTTAAAGGTCTCTTTTAGCTCGCTGGTACATTTTTTTGTCCGACACATCTTTCCTTGACACTAGGGTGGTCATAATACTCTTGAGGGAAGTAAGGCTGGGAGCTGAGCACAGAAGAACACAGGCTGTAAACTCGCACTTTGCTCTGCTAGCTCTACGGTGTTGACCTTAATTTATCAGGAGGGCACCTTGGGATTTTTTCAGCAAATAATAAAGAGGGTGCATTTTCCAGGTGTCTCTGCATTTCTCTCTTTCGCAGTCTCTCTCTCTCTCACCAGAACAAGAATTAACAAGTATTTTTAAGTAAGACAGTAAAAGTTTAGAACTCCAACTGCCAGAACTCAGTCAAGAAGCAGTTTCCAAGCAGTGCCTAAATTTTATCCTTAAGATGTAACAGTAAGTCATAATCACCTATTAACCACTTTGGTTTCTTAGCCTTCTGGCTGGTGAACTTCTTTTTCTCTTGAACTGTTCTAAATAATTAAGAGGATTTTGAAGACGTCCGACCATTTTGGCTGATGCCTTTTAAGAAAGAACAAAAGTGTGTTTGTTCATGCTCAAACTCCAGGAAAATAACTCCTGATGCTATTTTTTTTTTTTAAAAAAAAAAGGTTCCTTGATTTCAGTGACTTTAGAATTGATATAAGGGGCTTCCCTGGGGGGTCCAGTGGTTTAGACTCTGTGCTTCCAATGCAGAAGGTGCAGGTTCCAGTCCCAGGTTGGGGAGCTAAGATCCCATGTGCTGTGTGGCACAGCCAGAAAATAAAAACAAACAAAAAACCCCCTACCAATTAAAAAAAAAACCTGACATAAGGAAGAACAAAAGGAAAAAATCTATTACGAAGAATCACTGTGTGTCATGAACTAAGGATTGTAATCAATAACTTCTGTGTACCTAACATATAACTTTAAAAACTACTTACTGATTTTAAGGTGAAGCCTGGCCCATAAACCTGTGTTGTAATTTAGTATGTAACACTGGAAAACCCATGAAAGGAAAATATGAGACTAGTTCAGGGCTTCCATTGTGGCTCAGATGGTAAAGAATCCACCTGCAATGCAGGAGAGCCTGGTTTGATCCCTGTCTCTGGAAGACCCCCTGGAGAAGGGAATGGTTACCCACTCCAGCATTCTAGCCTAGAGAATCCCATGAACAGATAAGCCTGACGGGCTACAGCCCATGGGATCACAAAGATTCAGACACGACTAAATGACCAAGCATGCATACACATAGTCAGTGCTTTTGTTTAGTATCCTATAAAGTGGAAAGGACAGTGGGAAGTCTCTTTACTCCTCTCAGCAGAGGATTACTGAGTACCAGCTAATTGGAGAAGCCGAAAAGGAATTGATGGATAACTGGCATTCTTGAATTTCAAACTTTGGGGACTGCCTTACTGCTGACGAGGAGAAAGCAGAGAACATGGCCCATAGCTGATTGCAGCAGTTTTTCTAAACATGACCAGCACTAAGAATGAAAGTTTATAGGTTGGAGTAGAAGAAATCTCAGCCCTGGGTGAAGCCACATAATTAGAGGTTTCAAATTACTTTAGAATCTTCAAAGCACACATACAAGGATATGGATCATTCACAATATGCCTCTTTATAAGCCACGTACTTTCATAAGAAATCAAAGTCTTCATAATAAGAAAAACATAACCACAGGTAGTTCTTATTAATAATTATCATGAACAGGGCAGAAACTGGACCTGTCTTGCTCTTTGTTCAAGTGGAAAATTCTCCCTTTACTGACAGATTTGCTAAAGCATCCAAAGTAATGTTCAAAACACTGCTTTGCTTTATCTTGAGTTGTTAAACTACTGCACTCTAAAATCCTGCTACTAAACTTTAGCTGTACTCAATTTACTTGTATTTAATATAGACAGGCATTATTTTTGATACTAAATGTACTATGCATTAGATACTAAATGTACTTATGCTTTTAACACTTCTCTTAAGGACAGTTGCTATCATAAGAGGTTTTCCATGAATCACCTAATTCAGATAAAGATTGAATAATATTTTCAACTTCCTTCCTATATTTATTTAAGAATGTGTGTCATTCACAAATTCAAAATTTCAAACTATGGAAGTCTGGAGGTAAAGACATTTGAAGATATTTCTTCAAAATGTTTTGTGGAGGAAAAAAGGTATTATATATTGTATTACAAGAAACCTCATCACAGCTTCCTAAAGAAACAAAGTCCCAGAATTTTACAAGAATTGCTCAGTAGAAGTAAATCCAAGTTCAAAGAGACAAGAAGAAAGGAGTAATTTGTTATTCAGCATATGTATGATCTGCCACAGCAATTTTGAACCACTTTGTTCTGCTGGGTTTGCCTTAGTAAAGGGTTAGATGCTGCTGTGAGAATCATTCCCTGGAAACAGAGGTGAAAGTAAGTCAGTGAGTGAGAGCTGATATAAATTCAGGTCATTTTACAAAGGATTTGCACCCAAGATGAATTTTCACAAGTTGGCAAGCTTTTCCAGAATCTTGCTTTCATGAATGTTATTTGAACAAGTTGTGTAGAACGCAGTCTCCATTCTATGAGAGAGCAGTGCCTTTTTTTTTTTTTTAAACCAAGTTGGAACTATTCAGGTCACCAAATAACAGGGATCAAAAGTAAAACATCTGAAAAATCCAACAGTCTGGTCTAACCTGGGATGCTCTGTCTCCTCACAGCCAATGCTCCATCAGGCGGCTTTGTCTGGCTGGCGGATTTAGTGTAGGGACTCTCATCTGCAAAGGTACAATGAAGGCTTTGGTTAATTTCCATCCAGTTTCTACTGTAGTGAAGGTCTTTCAATGGATTGCAATCCTTCTGCCAGAGAGAGGTGGTACGGTAGGGTAGAAAGAGTCCGTAGACCTGGGTCCTAACCTGGGTTTAGCCGTGGGACTTGGTCAAGTCATTTAAATATGCTCTGAACATCAGTTTCCTCCCCTATGAAAGAGGGATATGTATTTGCACCCATCTCTGAGGATTGTCAGGATCAAGCTACAATGCACATGAAGGCATAGAATGGTAAGACATTTGTAAAAACAGTACACAGATGATTTGCCTGTCACCTATATTCATTGATAAATAAATATCCATGAATATCAGTAACAGGAAGACAAGGAAGGAATAAAATGGCTCAGTGGGCACTAAGAATAAACTAGGAGAAGAACAAAGGAAAGGAAAAGAAATATTATATTTCAGAGAAGCAGATGACAGAGTATTAGTATTGCAGGGGAATAAAAACACACAGAATTAGTGGGTTCCTACTGAAAGTATGAATGGGCATCCAGTGGAAAATAAAGGGAAAAGGACATCCAGAGCAAGACCAGAGAAGCTAGGTTAAGAATAGAGAAGGAAAGATGGTTTGGGAAAAGAAGACACATATTGCAATGAGCTGATCTGCCCTCTTAGAAAGAGATGGAAATAACTTGGAAAACCAGAGAAAGAGCAACTGAAGAGCCAGAAGGACTAAAGCTCAGTATATCTGTGACAGTTAGTCAAGAAGCTGAATGAGCAAAACACGAGGTGAAAAAACCATACAAGTGATGGATCCATCAAATTCTAAGTAATATGACTTTTTTTTAAAATCTAGGAAAGGATTTAGTCTGACTTGGAATATAGGTGTAATGATCCAGGATGGCAAATATTAGGGTGAAATAGAAAGGAAATATTCTTTTTAGTCAGCATAGGACATTTGTACAGAGTAAAAGAGATGTCTGAGTGACATTAAACACTTTCAAGCATAGGATGTATACAGCCTGAGTAGATATAATGTACAATAATCACCTAGTAGATCTACTCAAGCTAGATGACCCAAAGGTTACTTCTGGCCATACTACCAGGTTGCTTTGTTGTTGTTGTAACAAGAAATCATTAAATAATTAAAAACAGCATTATATTATATATGCAAACTACTAAAATATAACAAGGATTTAATTCAGCAACAAGCTTTTGTCATCTGAAAACATTAACTCTCCCAACTAAGTAGTTCGTGTTGCAAAATTAAGGAACTCGACTCCTCTTTAGGATGTACTTCTGGTTGAAATGATTCATGATTTCTTCCTAAAACTAACAAGGTCTTTGTAAGCAATGACAAAAAAGAAAGATTAACACTACTGTAAGCTGCAATTAACTTAAAAAATGGCAGTCACACTGTTTCATGCTTATATACCATTTGTCACACAATTCTTTATATTCTTCCAACCATAAAGACAAACTACCAACGTTCAGATATCAGCACAATCAGCAGCATCACTTTTGCTTATGAAGCAATATCCTAGATCTTTGACTCTTCTCTTTGTATATGCGATTTTGAGGATAAACACAAACCACAAAACAAAATGCCAGCCTTATATTACAAAAGTCTTTGCCATTCCACGCCCACCCGAGTATCTGAACTCTTTTCTCACAATATTGATTTAATAACCAGGCCATATGCTTGACCAAACTTACTATACGCTAAAATCTGGATTCTTTATAAAACCAATTTAAAAATGTATTTCTTTTTATTATCTAAAGCTTTGAAACCATGTATTTATAAGTACAGAGCACTGAGTCAGAAGATACAGATCACAACAGTCAGTTTCAGGGACAGCATCTTGGAAGCCTAAAGGCTTTCTCAAGGTTTCAATTTGTCTAGAGTCCAGCCAATTAGTGTCTTGAGTTGAATCCAGTGTTGGATTTTCTTACAGGGCAGTAAGAGATCTGACCAGGAGACTCTGGGGTGCTTTGTATTTGATGGTCTATTTTAAGGAGCCATGTCTTTAGAAATTTACCTAGTTTGCATTACAGAAGTAGTCAACCCTGGCAAAACTGTTTTCTTATTTATATTGGAGAACCATTTCCTTGATTTAGAGCTGAGATAGTCTAGTTATGCACATCCTTAAAAGCTTGAAACTGAATTATAGATGGCCACCTGGCCAGCCTCTGCTTATCCATTCCCCAGCCCCTGACCGCACTCCAGTGTTAAGACTGTCCTTACTGAGCACAGATGAAAGTAAACAATTACCTAGAAGCCAAAATTTGCATTGGTTGAAGGATCAGACTGAAATAAGTTCAATATTATCTAAGAATAGGTTTCCAAAGTCACTCAGGATGAAGGCAATAATTCCTACTGCAAATGAGGCAGAATCTTGGCAACCTTCATCAGGAGGGTTAAGGTGAGCACAGCAACAGAGCAGCATGGCACCTTTTAACATTTATTTTTAAAGAAACTTTTTGTAGGAACATCTGTTTAATTTAAACCCCGAGGAGGTATCATAGGCCTTTTATAAAAACCCATCCATCAGAGAATGGGCATCAGTTCTCTTGACGTGATTTATTCCAAGTCAAATCTTGACTCAAACTTTGAAAATAGAAATGGAAGGAAGACATTGAATGACTCAGCGGCTGATGCCTCTGTAATACTAGGTTGGTACAAATGTAATTGTGGCTTCAGACTGAATTTTAAATCAGTATTACTAGGCTCAAACCCATATTTATTAATCAAAATAGGAACCATTACAATCAAAACATTTTTGCCAAATAAGTTTGCTTATTCTCGTAGTGTAAAAATCGGTGTTCTGGGATTCCAGAACTCTTGGAAAGCATTTTCTGCCTCTTGCTGGCTGTGGAAGCATTTTCCCTGCAAAATGTTGTCAAGATGCTTGAAGAAGTGGTAGTGAGTTGCCAAGAGGTCAGGTGAATATAGTCGAATACGGAAACATCGTAGACTAATTTGTTCAACTTCTGAAGCGTCGCTTGCGTGACGTGCAGTTGGGTGCAGTAGTGGAAAAGAATTGGGCCCATTCTGTTAACCAATTCTGCCTGCAGGCATTGCAGTTTTTGGTGCATCTCATTGATTTGCTGAGCATACTTCTCAGATGTAATGGTTTTGCCGGGATTCAGAATGCTGCAGTGGATCAGACCGGCAGCAGATCACCAAATAGTGACCATGACATTTTCTTGGTGCAAGTTTGACTTTCAGAAGTGCTTTGGAGTGTTTTCTTGGTCCATCCACTGAGCTAATCATTGCCGGTTGTCCTGTAAAATCCACTTTTCATTGGATGTCACAATTCAATCAAGAAATGGTTCATTGTTGCTGCACAGAGTAAGAGAAAAATTTGCTTCTTTGTCTAACATCATTTCCATAGCTTAATAAGTCATTAGCACAAAAACATAAAGCAAGAAATGCACATTAAAATGATGCATAATATAACCACATTTAAGAATGGATTCTAATGTCAAACGGCAAAGTTCAACCATGCAAAACCACAATTACTTTTGCACCAACCGAATACAATGGAATATTACTCAGCCATAAAAAGAAAAGAAATAGTGCCATTTGCAGAGATCAGGATTGACCTGGAAATTTTCATACACAGTGAAGTCAAACAAAGATAAATACCGTCTGATATCACCTTTGTGGAATCTAAAATGGGACACAAATGAGTCTATCTACCAAACAGAAACAGACTCAGAGACTTGTGGCTGCCAACGCGGGGGAATGGAGAGATGGACTGGGAGCTTTGGGGTTAGCAGATGCACGCTGCTACACTTAGAATGGATAGACAAGATCTTACTGTATAGCACAGGGAACTATATCCAGTCTCCTGGGATAAACCATAATGCAAAAGAATATAAAATAAGAAAGAACGTGTTTATAAATGAGTCACTTGGCTGTACAACAGAAATTAGAGCAACATTGTAAATCAACTATATTTCAATTTAAAATGTAAAAAATAAAATAAATGCCAATACAATTAATTCACTGTTACTCAGTAAATGGCTCAAAAGTTTCAGTGAATTACAAGATCTATGTTAATACTTTTCGTTTATCAGGAAGACACTAAATAGGCTTTCAAGTTCCAATTAATTCCATAAGTGAATTAAAAAGTAGGTGAAATAAAAAAAACAAAAAACAAAACAAAACAAAAAAAAGCAGGTGAAATAACAAAAAAGGAGTCAATCTATAGATAGTTCAAGGACAGTGCCCATCCCCTAGTATGCATTCATTGAACATTTGCTGATAGACAATTAAATTGTATTTAACTTTTCAAATTAGAGCATTTATTATGATTAAGCAACCTGAAGAAAGTCAAACACTTGTTAGCTAACCTCCCTCCTCCCTCTGATTTCTTTTTCTAAGTTTACACCTATTCCTTTTAAAGTCATATCACCATTTACTACTTATTAAGTATTGCCTTATCGCATGTTCAAAATTTGTGACTATTTATAAAAATAATATTGAAATATATTCCCTTTAATTTCCATTCAGACTACAGAAGGTTTATTGAGTAACCTTTAACATAATGCCTTTAAACAAAAGAATTGCAATTTTTATACCAGACTCTCCGCCTTGACTTTAGGGTTATTAACAAGGAATCCTTATGGAAAGTCACTGCAGGACCAAGAAGGCATTCAGTAAGTGAGTCAATGTGGCAAGTAATCATCAAGGGCATCACAGGTTATGAGAACTGTCAGCCTTTTAAAATGGCATCACAGCAGCTAGATAATCTCTGTCATATATGATGGCTGCCCACTGTCACTGGTCAAAACAAGAAAGAGCATGGGTCCCCTTTATGGTGACATCCCAAGAGGCTAGGGGAAACGCCCTCCATTAAATGGAGAATGGACACTGCGACAGAGACAGGGCTTAGTCAAGCATATACTTAAAACAGAAGTTGAACAATGGGGGGACCATCTGTCCCTCTCATTCCTCCTAATTTGACCAGTCTCCTTATGTACTAAACACAGG